GTGTGTACCTCTTGTTTAAAACCACCAAAAGCAAAATGATGAGCGCTCTGTACCTTCTGTGTAACACAAATTTGGCAAATTTAACTATCAGGCACTACAGTACCAACCTAAAAACAGCTTCACTTTATTCTGAAAATACATGCAAAGAGGATAAAAACTAATATAATACCCATTTCTCTAGTATCTACCTTGGGCTTAGCCTCTACATCAACCATTTTATAATAACTTTAGAAGGAGGAGTTAGGAAAGCACATAAAGGCCTGAGGGGAAGACAGCGGGGGCAAGCAACCTACATGGCAGGATTCAATAATTCTCATACCATACTCACAAATGACTCCATCTGGGTCATAACTCTAAGATTAAAATGCTGGAAATATTTCAAATTATATCAATTAGGTGAGTTAAGAAAAAAAAATCTATGAGTTAATCAGTCAATGAGTTCCTGTAGGCCCCAGAGAGTGTAATTGCCAACAGTGAAGGAAACATTTCACATCCATGCAAACACGTCAGGACATAACAATGCTGGCAAAGCACCCATAGCAACAGTGAGAAATGGACAGGGACCCATCTACAGAAAACTATGTGTAATCCTCCAGGAAAAAAAAAATGCAATTCTTTTTTTGTTTTTTTTTTTTGAGATGTTTTCTCTGTGTAGCCCTGGCTGTCCTCAAACTCACTCTACAAAACTTAGAGATTCACCTGCCTTTTGCCTCCCAAGTGCTGGGATTAAAGATACCAGCATACAATTCTTTTTTTTCTAGATTATTATTTATTTATTATGGATACAGTGCTCTGCCTGCAGTACGCTGGCACGACTGAAGAGGGCACCAGATCTCATTACAGATGGCTGTAAGCCACCATGTGGGTGCTGGGAACTGAACTCAGGACCTTTGGAAGAGCAGCCAGGGCTCTTAACCTCTGAGCCATCTCTCCAGCCTCCAATATTCAATTAAGTATCAGTATTTGATTTTTCTTTTGTGGAAACAGGATTTCATGTTTCCTAGGTTAGCCTTGAACTCTTGATCTTTCTGTGTTCTGGGATTGTAAGCATGTAAACACTTGGTTTATATGGCGCTGAGGACCAAGACCAGGGCTTCCTGAATGCCAGGCCAGCACTCTTATCAAGCAAGCTACATCCACATCCCCTAACATCAATATTTTAGATGAACTTCCCAAAGGAGTAAAGAATGTGTCCAGAAGAAGGCAGCATGGAGCTCTGTGGATGTTCCAAGTAACAGGAAATCCCAGGGCAACAGAAACACACGAATGTAGCACTGATTACAAAAATCCACGTATTTAATTCAAATAAACAACAGCCACCCTAGTCAGGGTCTGATAGTGCAGGCAAGACTCTGCGTGGCTCCGCCCCCACACAGTAAGCCTGACCCAGCAACAGTGAAATAGAAAGGATGAAAACAGTTATTATTATGCAAGGCCATCCCAGGAACCTCTCTCTGCCCAGTGACTTCTCCAGACTGAAGAGGTTCTGTCTTTAAATACAGAAATGACTTTTAAAATTTTAATGGCTCGCAAGGAAATCTTTCTGAAATGCTTTACTACATAATTCATTGAGCATAATTCACCCACTCCCCAGTGGCTCAGGGTGGGTAGTACAGGCATCTGCTTCTAAACTGCATCTGGGAGAGGCTGCTGGGCTGTGGAGAGTCATTAGCCCCACATGACCAAGCCCCCTGCTGGGTCTGCACAGTTCACCTGATCTTTTTAAGGTATGTGTACACACATGTGTGTGTGCGTGCATGCAGAGGGCAGAGATCAACCTTGGGTGTCACCCTCAAACACTGCACACCTTCTTTCTTATGTTTTACTTTTTAGATTGGTCTCCCACTGGTCTAGAACTTGCCAAGGAGTCTGGGCTGTCCAGCCTGTGAACCCCTGTGATCTGCCTCTCTTTTCGCTTCCAGAGTTGGGCTTACAGGCGCATCCCACCATGCCCAGCTTTTCTGCATGGGTTTTGGGATCTAACTCTGGACCAAACGCTCGCATGACAAGTCCTTGCCCATCTAAGCAGCTCCCAGTCCTGCCTACGACCCTGCAAGTGTCCTCTCTAGCCTTTCTGCTTTACACTGTATCATCTACCACTTCCGTCCTCTGTCTTTGAGAGGACAAACTCTGCAGATTCTTTTTCAAACATCTATTCTATTCTTTTCCCCTCCTCAACCTATGCCTTTCCTTCCGTGGCCACCTTCAGAGCGTCCAGAGGAAATAAAGTTGTACAGTTTGGGGAATATTAAATGCACTCTACGGCCTCATTAAAATGAGATCAGTGCTTTCCAAACCTCTTTGGTGTGAGAAAAGGAAATACATATGGAAAAAAAAAACACGTGTAAAATAACTGGCCCAAAACACACCAGTGTGGTGGGAAAACTACAACCCAGAGGAGAGCGGGCTGGGAGTCTTCCTGTGTGCTTTGGAGACACTTGAAGGATGACATTCTGTATCCTGCTTAATCAGCTTCCCTCGTTTGGCCCTTGCTGTCGCCAGCATCCAGAGCCTTTAGAATCTGCACTGGCCACAGTGGACCAGCGGCTACGGGAGCTGAGTAGACGCCAGACAAACATGAACCCCGAAGACAGGAACTGCAGGACTGAAACACAGAACCGAGCCAG